TGAATGACTGCTTCTTATAAAGATCTCCTTGACGTCTTTGTTACTAGCATATTGTAAGATTTAACCTTCATAACGTACTCAAAGACGCAACATTGAAATTAAGGAATATTTCACCATTGATTAATTATGTACTTAAAAAATCAGTTCACAGAAAATCAGTAATTATTGTTTCAGGCGTCAAACTCACTTTAAAGTTGTTTGTGGTTTTGACCCGATTTCTTTATCTATTAGTTTCGAAAAAGAACACAGAAAAGTACAGACATCACTAAGACAAGAAACAAGAACAGTAAGTTACTTGTATTACTGTAAATGCGCGCATTCAGTTTTACTTTATATATTCCTACGCGCAATCCAATTGGCTATAACAATTTTTAGCGTAGATACGTTCTTTCGCTGTCTCTGCTTGGCTCAGAGGCCGGGTGTACTTTAAAGGGCTTTTGGACGAAAATTGCGAAACATTAGAAAAGATTTGGAAATCAAATAGAGCTATCCATATGGGTCTAATAATCATGAAGCAACAGATTTCAAGAAGATATTGATACAAATCCTTAATAATTCGACCAAAAAATCAAAATTTCTCCTATGTGGGATAATTCCATAACAAATATTTTCCCGAAATTGTTTTTAATAGATATAAATGAGTCATGTATTTGTATTGCTTAAAGTTTTGAAACAAGGGCATTTTCATGCAAGAAGCACTTTAGCAAGCTCTCTCTTTGACATGATTAACTAATTCTTGTCATTTGGTGTCAGTCGACCATAATCATTAGAGTTGAAAATAGGGAAATCCAGTTTTTGTCTTTAGTTGTATCAACAGCTGGTATTCATTGCTGTTTCGTTTTTCATATCAAAATTATTGCATACATTTGAAGACATTAGACATTGAACTCTGAAACTCTGCCATGTACCGTATATGCGGGAAAATTATTCTAAATTGACCTCTGAACCTTTTACGTCACTACTTGATTTTCAATGCATTGTGGKATCAGTTTCAAGAGAAAACAAAAGAAATCCGCCATGTTTTGTCCCAAACATGTCCTAYRATGCATTGCGTATACGGTACATGACGTAAAGCTACAGATGTCTATTTATGTTATCTAAATTTATTCTATTTTGGCGGTAGAATTATGTTTCAGACATGCGTATTGGAGTTTAACCAAGTTAACCGTGATTTGATCAACTCGAACGTAGGAACGCGCCTCGGTAAAAATGTTCAGTCTATCAGCATCCGAAAAAGGACAAGAAACTTTGTTGAATTTATACATTCCAACTGTTTTGTCGTCCTCATTAAAAATTTGCGGCTYTGGTCTACCTTATATTATAGAAAATTATTGTCGTGGTTTCAAAAAATCCGTGAAACGAAGTGTAATAGTCAAAGAGAAGTCATTAAACCCGTGAAACAACTTTGACTGATAAAGTTTGATAGCCAACTAAACGCAAAAGAAAACAATGGAATTAGAGCGTACTAAGGTGTATTAGTGTAATATCTATTTCACGTTTTTTTTTACTTTTCTTTAATAAAGTGGGAAACCAAACCGTTTCCCACTTTATTAAAGAAAAGTCAAAAMACCCGTGAAATAGATAAAGAAAACATACAAAAAGGTATTTGATTCTGGTGACGACACAGCATGCACTACCCTACCCTACCCCACCTTCGTAATCTGTGGAGGTGCTTATTCTGTAGACYCATCACTTTCACTTTCACTACTGATGCTATTCTACGCACGTAGGTTTACATTAAAGCAACAGTTAACATGCTTTGAATGCCAAGCAGTAATTTGAATAAAGAAAAAAAAAATCTTCGGTCATACGAGCTGACTAAGAGAGTACCGTTCAGTTGTAATACATATTTCAAGAAAGGTCGTTGGAAAAAATGGCGAATATCAATAGCCGACTTGCGAATTTCGCCTCAGTAGCCACACACAAAGAAATCAAGACGAGACGCCGTGTGTAAAGCTCAGTCAATCGTGAAAAGAAAACAGTTTTTCACAATTGAAAGTAGAAAGGAGAAAAGAGTCATATGTTTTGCTAATTAATGGGAAATTATAATGATTTACACTGTAAGATAGTCTGTGATAATCACTGGATCCATTTAGTCTCCATTTTCAATAAGGCAAGGTCAACTCAGCAAGTGAAATTTTGTAAGTTAGACAGGGCAAACACTTTTGAAATAAGACTATACAGCCTTTAGCCGAACAG